TGTGTGTGTGTGTGTGTGTGTGTGTGTGTGTGTGTGTGTGTGTGTGTGTGTGTAACAGCTCAATGAGTCCATGCAGAATATACAGTCTGTTATTACAGTTATTGTAGTGGGGACATGAATGAAAAAGTACCATATTCAGGTTTACGCTCTTCCTCCAGATTATGATTCCGTTCCATCACTGCAGTCTCTTTAATGTAGGCCTATCTTGTCAATCAGCCAGTAATTAAAGCAAAATGTTCCACTCTAAAACAAATTTTATTCAGTCATTAGTTTTATTGAGGCAGGTCTGAGCCGATGATTAAGCAGTTTCCTCTATTTCAAACCGTAACTTTCACAAACTGCAGTTTAAATGAGTGACCGTGGATTTAGAGAAAAATCCGTTAAAATGCGTTAAAAAAGTAGTGAAACTGATTTCACTACTTCACTAAGTATAAATACTTGAATCTGTGTATTTATAATGAATACATTTTGAATAGTGAAGTTTTGATCTAAATAACAGAAATATTACATTTTTGCGAGCCTCTAAATGAATAAAGTGAATAAAGACACTTTGTGGAGACTTCCTGTCACACTGGTTACCTTGGCGAGCTGCAGGCTGAACGGGGGGATCTCGACCTTCCCCAGCCGCCTGAGGGTCTCCAGGGTGATCATTGCGGTGCTGCTGGTCAGAAACTGTATAAGCGTGAGGAAACCGAAGTGATAATTACTGATGAGGAACTTCAGCAGGATGTTCAGGGAGCCCGAGAACACGCCGTGCGCCACGGCCACGGAAATTCCCAAAAGTCGGCTCTTGAACACATCCATGACGGAGGCCAGAGAGGAGTCGGTGTCGGGGAGCCCTGTGGACAGGTTGGGTGCTGCCAGGCGCGGAAGAGGAGGGACTTGAGGCTGCACAAAGCCCGCTGTCCGCGTTCAGGAGCGTTCAGACGGAGAAACGTAGCAGGAGCTCGCGCTCGGAGTCGGTGCTGCACGTGACACAAACTTTAGTTTCCACTGAATCATCATCACCCGTGGACATTCTCCTCTGCTTCTTTCTCGGAAAATAAAATCAGACGAAAAAGTCCTGCAGAAGTGGGAGCGCGGCGCAAACAGCGCAGCAGCCTCTCCTCGGAGCGCGCACTCTGTAATGACATTTTGCCGCAGAGCCTCTTGGCTCAGAACCGTGGGGGGTGGGGGGGCAGGGGGCGGTGTTTACCCGCTCCATCAATGAAGTCACGGAGGATACATGACCGCGAGTGTCTGCGTGGAAATGTCTTTATCTTTGTTTTGAGAGGCAGTTTAAATATTCATGACTTTGATTCGGCACCTCCTCCTCTTCATCAGAGAGAATAACCCTCACGAGCCAAAACCAAAAGATGAAGATATTAAATACTCTGTAATATTAATTCCAGCTATGATAAACATTTCTGTGTGCAGGGATCGGACCAGTGAGAGCGCATTCATCGGATTTTTGAGTCAACAACAATTTACTAGATTATTTATCCATGCTTTGGTGCGTTCTGTAGTTTGTTTCTTTGTGGGGGGTTTTCGTGGCTTCTGATTATTTCCCGTTTTTCCCAGAGTTAGTACTTGACCCCATACATACATGTCTCTGTGTCTTTGGTAACACTTTATAATTTGGCTTGAGACTAAGGGCTTTATTTCTGAGTAATTAACCAGGATTTATTTGACATGATAATGTAGCCTAATTATGTTTATGTACAATTACTTAAAAGTTATACTGTAAGTAAATTTGAAGTAAAGTATAAGTTTAAAAAGGACAGTTAAGTAATAGAAAAATAGATAGACATTTCCTTGTTTTCTATACAAATCTAACTTGTTACCTCCTTATTCTAGACTGTTCAGTTTTATTTATGCAGTGCCAAATTACACCAATCGTTGCCTCAAAGTACTTTATATTAAGTTAAAGACCTAAATAATACACAGAAAAAAGTGAAAAGCCCGACAATTATGAGCAAGCGCTTTGGTGTCCTTTTAAGAGGACGAAACCTCCAGCAGAACCAGGCTCTGGGAGGGGTAGCCATCTGCCGTCACTGTTACTCTAGTGTAGCTACCTAATTGTACATAAGTATAATTACATTGTAATTTCAAAATATAATAATAGAAATTACTTGAATTACAGAGGAATTACGATTTTATTGACGGCCAATTACTATAATTTGATGGGAAAGGTGGAAAAAGACCTTATTATTGAGCTACAGATTCCAGATAAACTCTACAGTTGTAGAGCTAAAGCTGACATGAGCATCCATCCACTTTGTTCCTTTGCTCAGAGTCATGACGGGGCCACAACCTGTCTCAGGTGTGGGATTCAGCGTGGGTCTCCAGTCTGAAGCAGGGAGACTTTACATACATGCAGGAAACAACGAAACATTACCAGGTAGATTGATAAAGACTAGACCTGTACACTCTGTATCTGGCATATCTGAGCAGTCATTTCTTCCACCTTAAAACCTGAACTGTTCTGATTCAGAGAGCAAAACGTTTATTTGGAGGTGTAATAATCTCCTAAACTCCGTCTGCTGCGGATCACAGCCGCCAGTGCCGACGAGTACGACTGTAAAGACTCAGCAGGAGTACAGATGACTGTAGCCGTGTTTACCTCTTCTGCAGTTCAGTCTTAATCAGATTTATTGCCGTGACAGATCATAGATTTATACGCTGCTGAAGCTGAAAACCGCACAGCGTGGATATAGGATGAAATAATCAACAGATTTTACAGATATTAACAGGAGCAGCTCAGCATGTTCAGTGCAGGGCCTCGGAGTCTGAGTGTAGGCTGGAAGTATTATCTTTTGAAATATATTAATTAATCTGTAAAATATGAGAAATAAACAAACAAAGATGCTAGAAAAATCTGAAAGTGCAGCTGAAAAAACCCCAGAGAAAATCCTCACACTAAAGACGCTGAAATCAGAGGTTTACTCGATTAAAGACCTCGGAGATGAGCTGCTCATTTATTTGCACTAAACGAGTTTTATTAACTCCGTGTTTCATGGAATCGGCCCGGATCTGTGGAGCAGGTTTCAGGTTCTCTGTTCTCCAGGTCTGTAGAGAAATGAAATGACACATTCTTGGTTCACCTCAGCAGACTGGGCACCTGATCAATCGTGGGACAACGACAAGCCAGAATGTGAAGATACACCTGCATTTATACTCGTGTAACGCATCTTCAGCCCTTCTTTGGAGAAAAGCACCCCTGACCTCACATCTGTGGCATCTGCAGGAAGCTGAATGAGTGGAGGATTTTGGAGGGTACGTCACCTGAATAAATGCAGCGGCTGTTGGAAGCGCGTGCCCGATGTTTGCAGGTGTGCGACCTCCTGTAAAATATTCCATCTACATAACTGATATCAGCATTAAACTGGTGGATAATTTCTCACTCACAGAGCATTAATCACCCTTGTGTGTGTCCTCTTGCATTTGAGCCCTTCATGAATGGATGTGCGTGTGAGAGGATTCAGATCATCAAATTTAACCCTTGCCCAGCATGCACAGACGATGAAACCTGGATATCGCCGCACGTGTAACAGTACAAAACAGGGCGGGGACTCTGTGACGTCCCTGCTTCCAGCCTTGAACTGAGAAAGTGATGCTGCTGCGGGGATTTCCATCCCTGTGTTCTGGCCACCAGCTCATCCCGAAGATCCTGGATGAGGCTGAACTCGTTTTCTTCCGCATCAGACACAGAAAATCATTTCTTAATGGAACGATTTATCTACTGCAGTATTAAGATTTCCCTTCGATAGAGCTAAAAACAAACAACAACAAAAACCCTCTATGTATATTTGGACGCCTGCCATGATCCTGGAGAAACAGACATCTCTATTTTTCCATTCCTTTAAGCCTCCTCCACCTCCTTATCGAAAAACAGAGACTCCACCATCAGTCGTAACAGGCGTGGAAATGACTTGGACAATATTTTAATTGAAATGTTTCATCAGAAAATCAGTTTGCAGGCCACAGGGGAGGGGGATCCGCCCTTATCGAGCTCAGACCATTAGCTTCAATTAACACGCGGAGAAAGGAGAAGACGGAGGCGCTTTCAAACGTTGGGAAAACGGGCCGAGGATTTAGACCGGAACTCGCTGAGAGAGGGAGGAGGGGAAACTGCAAATACATGCATGCATTGTTCTAGAAACTATAGGTAATATAGATTAGGCCGAGTAATTTAACTTCAAACACAGAACTTAACAGGCGTGAATCCATTTTTAATATGGATTTCCAAATGAATGTGTAGCACACAATCACGGCGAAGGAATGAGAAACCACGTCGCCTGAAGCCAGCGACAGTTTCACCCGTCTGTGGGCTCGTTCATTTCATTTTGAATTTAAACTGAGCAGGTTTTTTTCAACACTGGCGGAAAAATATCAATATTAAAAATATTACAATTTATATATATATAATCAACATTTTATGTCAGTGAAACCTGCAAAAATTGAAAGGACTCAAAGGATATTTGAGATTTATCCAGAAGACACTGAAGAGTCTCACAGCATGTAAAATGATGATGTGAAATAATTCATCTTCCTGGACATGAATTCGTCTTCATGTAAACAAACATCAGTGTCAGTGTGATCATTCCCATTTTCTTCCAAAGTGAGGGACAGACTTTAACTTTTCATTTTCCCCGTATGAAAATGTTCCAGTGATACAGATGTGCGTGTTTCACAAAAAATGATCCACACTATTAAAATTAGCTTTATTCAAGGCACATCGCCAAACACTGAAGCCGTCTCAACTGACTGTGAAATAAACTCACCGTAAACTTTTCAGTGACGTGTGAAACATAAAGGACATTTGCAGTTTTAAACTCAAACTGATTAGAGAGTACAAAGGTTAAAGTTCAACTCAGACACAAAAATATCCCTGATTGAGAAACAAATGATAAATTAACTTGCAGCAATTAATATTAAAAAATAAAAACACTAAACACACTGATGATGGGCAGACCTGTTTCAGTCCAGTGTGAGGTGTTAGCTTCACTCCTAAACTCCGGAGTTTTTCCAAAGTTCCCAGGTCTGAGAGCAAACAGTATAGCTGTGTGTGTACGGGTTCTTGCTATCTTGGTGGGGACCAAAATCTGAAATTTACTATACTAGTGGGGACCAAAATCCAGGTCCTCATCAGGTTGAAGGCATTTTTCACACTCAAAATGTGGTTTTAGTGTCAAGGTTACAAATGGGTTATGGCTAGGCTAGGTTTAGGGTTAGGGTAAGCGGCTAGGGAAAGCATTATGTCAATGGGATGTCCCCATGAGGAATGCAAACCAGACGTGTGCGTGTGTGTTTGCGTGTGTGTGCATGTATCTACCACACTTCCATGGTCAGTTAGAATAACTCAACATGCCTGTCTCTGGACAGTGGGAGGAAGCCAGAGTACACACACAAAAATGTTTGAACTAGAAACCTTCCCACTGTGAGGCAACAAACCCAACCCCTGCACCACTATGCCACTGTGCTAGGCAGCGTTGAATACGGGGGTGCCACTGTTTGATAATGTGAAATGCCCAGAATAACAAAACCAAGAACAAAAGTTATCACAGTAAAATATCTGCTTTTCGAACACATGCCAACACATGCTTTATTCTGACAGAGTCGATCACAGTCGTGGGACCGAGTAATGTCCAGCTCATCTGCCCAAACATGATGGCTGGTGTTTTCCAGTTCCTATGGCAACAAGGGTCCAGTAGCCACCTGTGAAACTTATGTTTTCAGAATTTTGGCTCCGATTTGGTACCAAAGTGTCAGAGCAATGACGTCTCAGTGGCGTGTGTCTTAACCATTCACAGTTTGAAGTTTGAGGCTCGGATCTTGAACAACGATGTGGAAGAAGTGAAGAGTCGGGTGTGCGTCGGCGAAGCAGTCGTTATGGTTCAGGACGAGGCACTGGCTTCATCGGGGAGAAGTGCTCGAATACCAGCGCCGAGGTGAAATCGTCCTCAGAGGTCTGTGGGCATTTTAAGGAGCTGCACTGTGCGCTCCCACCGACAGGCACGCAGGTGTGTACACCTTCACCGTCTCGTCCCAGGAACAGTCCACCACCTGCATACACACAACCACACACATGCTGTTCAAGAGCACCTCACACTCACATCGGGATTTGAACCTGCAGCATCAAATGAA